TGGCAAAGGAAATGTTTTCTTTTCTTGGGGCCTCTGGAATCTTTAGGGATGGAGAGAATCACAGGAACTTCTTAACACAGGTAATAATGATTTTTTTTCCCAAAAGAGGTGGAAACACAGGGGAAAGTTGTTGTTTCAGACTTTGTTCTACCTCAAAACTCAGGATAGCCTTCTCTGAGGACACATTACAACATCCAATCAGAATATGCCCATCAGCCTAGATTTCTGCAAGAATGATAGGCTCCTATTACAATGATTTATTCTACAAATATTGATTGAGGACCCATAATAGTGAATTAAGAAAAGCATGATCCTTGACTTCACAGAGCTTGTATTTTTGGCATCATGTTCAGGAACATCTGTAGGATTACTTTATAGAAGAACTGAGTCTTCTTAAGGGGCTAAAAACTCATTGGCAGCTTATATAACAAACTTACAAGACACAGAGAGGGTCTCTGAGGTCAGCCTTACTTGGGTCCAAATCCTAGTAGATTTCACCATCTGAGAGCTGTTTAACCTTGGACAAGTTTCCTTTTCTGATCTTCAATTTCTTTACCTGTAAATAGGAAAATAATACTTAACTCATAGAGTTAATATGAAGATAAAATGAGATACAATATGTGAAAGGATATAGTCTGGTATCAAATTAATAAATATTTCTATAAAATACATCATATTCCCTATTTCATGGAAAATTATCTTTTTAAACAAAACACATCTAGAGAGAAGGTCCAGTTTTCAAGGACTCAGAATGGTAATCAGAGAAAACGCCATGGTTATAGGAAATGTTTCCTATCTTTTATGTCCCTATTAAAGTTGTTATCTTCTTCAGATAGAAACTGTCTGTTTTATTTTGGTATCCCCCAACCTATCTCAGTGGCTAGCAAATTGCCTGAGAGTGTTAAGGATAGAAGACTCATCTTATTCATTTCTGTACTCCCAGGATCTAGTATAGTGTCTAGAACATAGTATGCTTATTATATGCATTAAGTCACTTAATCCTCACAAGAATCCTGTAAAGTAGTGCTATTATTATCTTTATTATTAAATGAGGAACTGAGGCACAGAGAGATTCAGTCAATTGCCCAAAATTACCAAGCTAGTTAAGTGGTAGAAACAGAATTTGAACCCAGGCAGTCTGGCTATAGGCCTGCACCCTTAACACATAATACACCACATAGAAGATGCCTATTAGGTATTTGTCAAATGAATACAGCTGCAAGAAAATGTGAATTATAATCATGTAAAACAAGGAGTGCATTATAAATGTGTACTTTATGCAATAGCCATGTTCCCCCAAATTGGATAAGAATCTATTCTTTTGTAAACTTCATTCATTTTACCCATACTCTGCCATCACATTATTGTTTGAAAAGTTAACCCTCACTGTGCATTAAGAGGGGTTTCTGTTGCTCAAAGCAACTTGTGGTGATCGTTTTGTTATGTCAAGAACCTTTTTTGTCATGTCAATAATCACTTCCTAAACTCTCTGATTTATAAAAAGTTATCACAAACTGGCTTCCTGCTAAAGCAGGAGGGGGTGTAAATATCCTTTAGAAGATTCTATTCCAATCACCTATAATCTGCCCTTTCACCCCATCCCACTCCTCCAACCAGAGGCTGGAAAGACAGTTGGTGCCCTCTTGTGGGGTTTTTGGGAAGTAACATACACTGGGCCCACCTGGGGGGTATTTATAGGAAATAATCACATCAACTTCTTTCAATTCTGGTGATAAGGATGGAGTTGATTTTGGGATCTTTTTCTGAAATAAAAAATTGAATCTTTTTCAGGAAACGGGAAATCTGACTTATTCAATCAGGCGAGTCTCCTGAAGCCCTGGTAGAGAGAGGAATGGAATAAAATTTCACTGAACTTTAGAAGGATGCTGAGCAGATATTTCCTTTGATCAGGTACACTTTACATGTACTTCAAAATCACAGGCTATTAATGATAAAATTTACCATTTATTTAGGATTATCTATGTGCTAGATACTTGATATATATTGTCTCATTTAAATCACACCACAACCCTATAAGGTTAAAGAATATCTCCAATTTATAGTTAAGAAAGGTGAGATTTAGAGAGGTTAAGCAACGGCCAAAAAATAGCAGAACCAGAAATTCAAACCCAAATCATACTCTTTTTAGTGTAGTATGTTGTCTCTTTTTATTTCTTTTGGCCCAGTATCGATACTTCACTAAGAGATGTCAGAAAAATGTTCTCGATATATGTAATACCAATGCAATACCACCGAAACAGTAAAGAAAACTGTGCCCCAAACCCTTAGATAGACCCTTTGCTAGTTGTCCTGACAACTTGTTTTATTTGGTTATGTTGGATAGAAAGATAGGAAGTTTAAAGTTGTAACAGACAGAGGTCAAGGGCCAAAGTGAATGCTGGGAAGGCAGAGAAGGGCATAAGAGAGAAAGAAGGAGTAGTGTGGACATGGAGGGCAGAGAGACTTTTGACTGCCTGTCAATAGCTCATAAAGCCGGAACTAGCCCATTAGGGTGAGCCCTGCCTTCTGGAGAGCACAAGTTGCATCAAATGTAATAATTAATCTGTGTCCAATACTTTGTGCCAGGCACTGTTTTAAGTGCCTTACATATATTAACTCATTTAATCTTCAAAAAAATCTTGTGAGTCAAGTATTTTGATTAATTCCATTTTATATATTAGAAAATTGAAACAATGGAGGAGCCATTGTTCCCAATTTACACATATGGAAACTGAGACACAGAGTTGAGTAACTTGCCCAAGGTCAGGCTAGTAAGTGGAGGAGGTGGATTTTAAACTTAGGATTCTGTCTCCAGAGCCATGTTCTTACCCATCATGATATATTACCCTTCCCACTATGTTGTAAGGATCAGTATTGTTTCAGAAAATGTTTACTTCAGGTATATATGAATGTGTGAATGTGTGTGCTTATGTTTGTATTGGGTTACAATGTAAGATGTATTTATTCCTGTGAGTTACAGACAAAAATATCTAAAAGCAACTGCTCTAGCAATAGTATTGCTGAATTATACATCTTCAATCTCACTAGAGATAATGCCAAATTACTTTCTAAAACGATTGTACCAAGTCACATCCCCACCAGCAGTGTAAGAGAGTTAACAGTGTTCTATATCCTTACTTCAACGTAACAGCGTCAGGCTTTTAATATGCTGCCAATCCAAAGGGTGTGAAATCATATCTTATTTGGTTTTAAATTGCATTTTTTCTGATTTGCATTACATATTTTCATATATTTTGGCTGTTCATACTTTGCCTACTGTGAATCATCTCTTTATATCTTTTACTTATATATTATTGCATACAATACAAATGTACACAATACAACACACAACAGCAACTCTTTGAGGGAGCCAGCAGTACAGATGAAGAAACTCAGGCTGGGAGAAACCTTGCTTAAATTCACTCAGCTAATGGGTAGCTGAGTTGGGATTTGAGTCCAGACCCAGAGGACCCATTAGCCCATGCCTTTTGTTTTATAGTACATAAAGGGACCAAGGCTATGTTAGTAAAAACAGAAGAAGGGAACAAATAATTTCAAGCACATAACAATATATCATATGTCTAATTAGGTTTTACATAATTAACAGAGATTATTTCCTTGTATCCTCACAACTTGTGAGATAAAACATATTATCCTCATTTTACAGGTAAGGAGACTGAGGCTCATGGAAATGAAAAATTTGCCTTGGAGAGGTTAAATTACAGCTGAGAAGAGGCATAATCACAATTCAAATGCAGGTCTATGTGATTACGTCTATGACTGTTACAAATAGTGCTACCTGCCCATAGATATTCTTGGTATGAGGTAAAGGCCTCCCATAAACCAGGTCAGCCTCATCATCTCCTACAATCGTGCTTTGACCTCCTGCCCCACCTTCTTAGAACCCCCAACATACTGCTTCTATTTGGAGATGGCCAGGACTACACATACCATTTTTTGTAGAATTCTGGTCAGGGACAGCCTTAACTAACTGGTCCAGCTCACTGCTTCCATTAACCAGTAAAGTGAGATGAGCTCCCAACCACCTTCCACAGATTCGTCTTCCACTGCCCCCAGGCTTTTCTGATGAAGCCCACTTAGGATCTCAACACCTTCCATGGTAAACCAGAAATTCTAAATCAGAGTTGTCAAACTTGGCTGCACATTAGAATCACCTGCAGAAGTTAAAAAAAATCCTGATGTCCCAGTAACAGTCCAGACCCACTATATCAGAATCTCTGAAAAAGTTACCCAGGTATCTGTAATAGTTAAAGCTCCCCCAGATGATCCCAATGTAAGAGAACCACTGTTGAGGCATCTTCTTCAAGCCACAATCACAGTGGTTTCCATATGTTAGTGTTCATAAAAACTTCTTGGAGTATTTGTTAAGATTCAAATTTTTAGACCTCACCTCCAGAATCCATGGTTTGGTCTGGACCCAGGAGTCTGCATTCTTAACAATCACCCCAGATAGTTTCACTGAAAGTCAGTAGCAGACCACATTTTGGGAAATACTGCATTAGAGGAAGTGCTACATGAAAGTGTGATTGGAGCAAGAGGTCTCTGGCCCTTTAAGGACTAATTAGGAAACTACCTTTAAAGCTGTGGAGCACAGCAGGCAAGGGCTGCTTTTCTCCTTCTAGTGGATAAGGTAAGGGAGTAGGTCCTGGAATGGACCTCTCCTTTAAGGTTACCTCAGCATCTGCGTAAGTGCTATCTTGTTCCCAGCCCTGAAGAGCAGGAAGGATATGCTGTATTGTCCCACCCGTTGTTTCTGTTTGTTTTGATGCAAAAAGGCCAAGTTAAGAGAACTCCTTCTGTCCAGAAATCCTCCCAGAGGAATCAAAATAAGGCCTACCTGCTTGTCTTCCATTTTTTTTCCTCACCCTATCTTTTGTGGCTGTGGAGCCAGATGCGGTTACCTATCTGAAAGGGAAGACGCAGAGTGACATCCTTTGAGCTTGGGATAGACAGTGTTGCTGGACACCACACCTTTTGAGATGGTCCTCCTCGGCATCCTTAGAATCCTTTTTTTGGGACTGGGGCTTTTTATGGAACATGGGGTCCAAATGGCAAAGGTAGGGCAGCCCTCTAATGCCCTCATGGCTGATGCCCCTTCCTTGCCCCTGATTCGGGAGCTACTAGAAGAAGCTCCTGGCAAGCAGCGGAAGAAGCCACCTGTCCTAGGGCATCCTTTGCGGTACATGCTGGAGTTGTACCAGCGTTCAGCTGATGCACGTGGGCACCCTAGAGAAAACCGCACCATTGGGGCCACTATGGTGAGGCTGGTGAGACCCTTGGCCAATGTAGCAAAGCCTCTCAGAGGTGAGTTATTATACTGTCCTGGAAGGAAGAGAAATGGGGGGAAAGAGTGTAGAGAAAGGGGATCTGTGAGTTTATGATCAGGCTTCATTGACTGGTGGGTGACTTGTTTTCTCAGGCTTGGATTTCAAAGGATGGAAAAATTAGGAGAAGCTAGCTCCAAGCCTGCTTCCCTTTAGGGGCCCAATGTAAGAACAGATTGCCTTGGGTCTACCTGAGGAGTCTCTCCCAGACCCCAAGACAACTGAATGATGTGTCAGCTCCTATGTTTCAAAGTTTTCTTGTTTGTCACTGAAAACTATAATTTAGAAATACTCCTATGCATTCTTGTAGAGAGCTGTTTATGTGTGGTTTTATTCTTACAAGGCAAAGAGCACATAATGACGAGCTGGGGAAATTTGTTAGAATGGAGAGAAACTAACATCAGAAGGTCTGTATAATTGGTGAGGTGAACATCCGCTATTATATATAATCCTTACGGATGGCTATTACCATTAGCTGTCATGGAGAAATTAGCCCAATTTTTAAAGATAAAGAACTAAAGCACAGAGAGGTCACATAACTTACAAAGTTCACATAGACAGTGGTTGACAGAGATAGGATTTGAGGTCAAGTCTGCCTGGTTTTAGTCTATTCTTAACTTCTCAAGCGTTTAGATATCCTTGAATACCAAGCAGTTTTTCTCTTAAGGCCATGTTGCTACTTTAGGTTTTCAGTAACAAAGGTATTTGGAATTCTCTTTGTTCCCATCATACTTGATTTAAAAAAATATCTTTGTTAGATACTGTTCCAGGAAACCAGTGAGATTCTGAAGTGCAGGGCTTTCTAGGGAAGGCAGAAAGCATCGACTTCAAGGAAATCTTGGGAACCTGGTGAGATCAATTTTGGGCTTTTGGTAGTTTACATTCTCTCCCTTAAGTGAAACCACCAATATTCCCCTAGCTAATCTTTACTGTGAGCTTGCTACGTTCCAGGCATTTGGTAAAGTACTTTATAAACATTATCTTCCTTAATCCTCCGCACTATCATATGCAGTAGGTATTATTAACATAATCATTTTATACGTAAAGAAACTGAGGTTCAGAGTAACTCACTCAATGTAACACAGCTAGTAATTGGTAGATCTGGGTGTCAAACCAGGCTTTTGGGCTCTAGAGTTTGTGATTTTAATCATCCTGCTGTGCTGACTCCACAGATTTTGAGTACCAGGCACTGTGTTTGGGTTGGGTCTAAAGAGGCAAATAACTGTTTCCCTGACCTCTGGGAGCTCCCATCAAGTTAAAATATAGATAAGTAATCACATCATGGTGTTACAGCATGACAAATGCTTTGACAAGGATAAGCAGTAGTGCTCCCAGGACCAGAAAGAAGAACTAGGTCACTGCTTAAAGCCAGGAAGGGGAGGCAGCAAGACTGTGAAAGACTTCATTGAAGAGCTAATATTTGAGATGGGCCTTGAGGAAGGAGGAAGGAGACCATGCACAGAGACAGAGATCTGCATTCTGATTAAGGAAAGAGAAAATAGCTCGGTGTGGGTGGAGATTCACTCAACAAATATTTAACATCTATGGAGGTCTAGGCACAGTTTTACATACTGACTTACAGATATGATCCAAACAGGCATGGTTTTCATGGATGAGACAGATAAGTAAACACTGATAATTGCAAATAGTGATTAAATGTTCTCAAAGAATGAAAAAAGTTGTTTTGATAGAAAATAACAAATCCTTCCTTTTCATGGGATTGTTAGGGAATGCATCTTTGAAGAGATGACGTTTGAGCTGAGGGCTGTAAGATAAGCTAGGTATGAGAAGAGTAGAGAGATTTAGACAGAGGAAGCCATGTGTGCAAAGGCCTAGAGGATGGAAACAAGCTTGTCTGACTTGAAGATCAGAAGGAAGATCAGTATGACTGGAACTTAGTGAGCATTGTGGAGAGTGGCAGGAATGGAGGCTGATGAGAGTCAGGGACTTGGAGGCCATTATAAGGAATCTGGAATTCATTCTGAGTGCAGCAGAAAGCTGCACAAATCAAGCTTGTATAGATGATATGGAGCTAGATGAGGATGCCTAGAATTAGGCCACTCTCCCGGCCTGACTGTGGGACATACTGGCATCTAGGGAGTCTGGAAAGGATCTGGAAATGGAGGACAAGAGCATCTGGCCACATATCTCCGTTAGGAGATGACCCAGCTGAATTGAGCTTGTCTGGAGAAATATGCCAGGTTCAATTACACAGGATGTGTGAGTCAGTCATTTCCCTGAAAAGGTCTGAGCAGACCCTTCCTGGCTCTGATTTTTAACCACTCCACCCTGCTTCAGGAAATATGTGATGTCAAGGCCTGAAAGTAAAGGGCACTTGCTCATCATGCAGCCTGGTAGAGGTTGGCTTGGGCTCCTCCTTGGGCAGGGTGGGGCAGGTGTATGGGTGGGCCTCTTGGAAAGATGATTGTAGGATGGGAGTGTAGAATAACTTGAGAACGCAAATATAAGCCTGGTTTGGGCCTTGTGTAAATGATGTCCAGTGCCCCAAACTTAAGGGTATATTAAGCATGAGTTGAGTCTGAACTTTAAAAAAATATCCTGATGTTTTAAGATCTGAAAACACTTCTACATTGACCATTCCAGGCTTACTGAAGAATCCAAGCTTGTGGATTCCGTGAAGAAGGAAGGTTAGGTACATAATATGAAAATTAACATGCAGATATTTAGCGATAAGGTGTTTGAAGATAAAAGGAGGCTTTTTCCTGCAATGCTTGGTTTTTGTAATCTTTGCTCTTGACATTTTCCAGAAGAAGGTGCAGAAATTCAGAACACTGCAGGCCCAGCCCAACCCTATAGCCACTGGGTGTCAGCATTACAGTTTGGATTAAAACTCTTAATCACCAAAAAGCTTTCATCTTCTAGTAGAATTCTTAGGAAACAAAACATTTATAGGACTAAGGCCTTGTTGAAAAGAGTATTTAGGGAATGGTGGTACAATTAATGTGGTACATGAAGAATCCTTTCCAGTAAGGAATGAACAAAGGAGAGACTGATGGTTAAGGGGGGAAATGGCTTAAGAAGGAACAGCTGCTTAAGAAGCAATTCTTTTTTTTCCTTAAATAGTTTATTGTCAAGTTGGTTTCCATATAACATCCATTGCTATTCTTAACATAGAAGATAGAAATGGCAAAACAGCTGCCCCAACTAGGGCTAAGTGGACAAAATTACTTTGTGGCATCTTGGCCCCAGGTTTGAAGTGATGGCAGGCCATAGATAGCCCCCAATATTGTATTGTTCCTTCAAAATTGCATCTGTATAATATGACAGGAGGACTAATTCTTTTTTTTTTTTTTTTACAAATAGTTTATTGTCAAGTTGGTTTCCATATAACACCCAGTGCTCATCCCCACAAGTGCCCTCCTTCATGCCCAGCTCCCCCCCTCTCCCCCCACACCCATCAGTCCTCAGTTTTCAGCATTCAAGAGTCTCTCATGGTTTGAGGAGGACTAATTCTTAATTCATGCATGTCTCAATGATATGGGAATAATTACCATCTCCTAAGGCTATTGCATATTAAAGAGGTAATGTTTTAAAACATCTAGTAGTAAATGCCTTACAAATAATGGTGATATCATGATCTTTAGTGCTGCTTGCAGCAGTCAATTTGTAATGAGCAAGGTTGTGAGGAAGACTCAGGCTAGGAGGTAAGGCGGTAAACTTATACTCTTGTTCTCTCTCGCTGATGCAGGCCCCTGGCATACACAGACCCTGGAATTTCCTCTGACACCAAACCCAGTAGCATACCAACTGGTCCGAGCCACTGTGGTTTACCGCCATCAGCTCCACCTAGCTCGTTTCCATCTCTCCTGCCACGTGGAGCCCTGGGTCCAGAAAGGCCCAGCCAGCCAGTTTCCCTCTTCAGAAACCGGTTCCTCAAAGCCTTCCTTGCTGTTCAAAGCTTGGACAGAGATGGATATCACACAACATGTTCAAAGGCTCTGGAATCAGAAGGGGCGCAGGGTTCTACGGCTCCGCTTCATGTGCCAGCAGCAAAAAGGTAGTGAGATTGAGCTTCAATGGCATGGCACTTCATCCTTGGACACTGCATTTTTGTTACTCTACTTCAATGATACTCATAAAAGTGTTCGGAAGGACAAACTTCGCCCCAAAGTCCTGGAGGAGTTCATGGAAGGGGACTCTTCCCTCCTCTTGCGGAAAGCCCGACAAGTAGGCAGTATCACATCCAGAGTTCCTGGCCCCTTCAGGGAACATGATGAGCCTAAAAGTAACCAGTGTTCCCTCCACCCTTTCCAAGTCAGCTTCCAGCAACTGGGCTGGGATCACTGGATTATTGCTCCCCATCTATATACTCCAAACTACTGTAAGGGAGTCTGCCCTCGGGTACTACATTATGGTCTCAATTCTCCCAATCATGCCATCATCCAGAACCTTGTCAATGAGCTGGTGGACCAGAGGGTCCCTCAGCCCTCCTGTGTTCCATATAAGTATGTTCCCATTAGCATCCTTCTGATTGAGGCAAATGGGAGTATCTTATATAAGGAGTATGAGGATATGATTGCCCAGTCCTGTACATGCAGGTGACAGCAAAGGGTAAAGCTCGCTCAGTTTTCCCAAGAAATTGGAAAAGAGTTTGACATAACAAAACAAATATCAATGTTAATGCTGTAAGTGGTGTTCTATCTGTGATCTTCTACCCATTCTGTGGGTTCCATTCCTGCCTTAAGGTGTTAAGTCTCTTCCCCCATGTATGAGGTCCTCACTTTATACAGTTATGAGCCCAAATGTTTGTACATTTTGACCATTAATGCCCTTAAAGATGTTCCTTTTGAGATGCTCAGCTTTTTTTATTGTGACCTTGTCAAAAGTCACCGGTCCATGACTGTAGAACTTTTGGAATTGTCCTACCAAGGCCTGCAAAGGTGAAATCTTTCTAGTATTCATCTTTTGAGGCTTTCTAGAAGATTTTGGGCTAAGAAAGCTACTTGAGATCTTATACTCCTCTATCTTGCCTCCTGTATCCTCAGAACTGGTACCTAGTCAGAAAGACTGCCTGCTTCTCTGTTTGCATTGCCCTCTGAATCTAAAACTAACTTTCCTCAGATGGATTAAAAACCGTTTGGGCAATAATCTCCATTAAAATAATTGGAGGGAAGCAGAAGGAATATTTTTTCCTAAGATATCAGGGTTGTTCCTATTAGCCTCTGAACCTGGGAAATGTACCTGGGATCTCTTCCTACCCTATGGTGAGGAGAACAGGCCCTTAATAAGATCAATAGGAAAACTTAAGTATGGGGCTGAGAGGATAATCCTTTCAAAACCATCTGCAGCTATGGTGAAGAGAGGAAGAGCCATCATTGCTGATTAGGATTATGTATGGGAGAGTCCTTTTAAACTTGCTGGGGAACAATGGATTTCACAGGATGTTATTTTATAGAACAATTAAATCATTATTATCTCACAAAGAAAGTTCCCTGGTGCCTCTGAGGTTATGCCTCGGTCTGGTTGGGGGTGGAGGGGTAGAAGGCTGTAGCCAGGAAGCTTGAAGGGCTGTGGGGGGAAGGGTGAGATGTGCTGAGGCCTGAGTCCAGTTTCAGTCTGGGCTTGCCTGTTTGTTCAGTTTGGCTCTGGGCTGGATCTTCGGGGGGAGACAGGCTCGCTGTTTGGGGAAGCATGAAGTTCCGCCTTAGACTAAATGATGCAGTGTGACTCTTTTCTACTCCGATGCTGTGTTGAAGTGATGGAGACTGGGCTGTGATACAAATAAATCATTTTTTGTTGTTAAGAGAATCTTGAATGTTTGGGGGATTGGGAGAAAGTGGGTGGAAGGAATTTATTTCCTTTGTTCCCTTTAGCTGTGGCCCTAATCTCCAAGGGCAGAACTGCAGGCTGCTATGAAGATCTCTTTTTAAGGCAACACTGCTAGTGATCAGCTTTCCCCAAGAGGCCCCTTTGAGGAAGCCCAGTAAGGCATTTCCCCTGCCCAACTTTTCCTTGACTAGTCTTAATGGCCATTTGCAGTGGGATGGGACTGATTTAGGGTGGGTGCACATATTTGCCAAATGTAATCCCCCATTTTTCTTACCTATCCATCAAAATAACTCCCCTTACCACTCTCTTCTCAATAATTGGTTCCAGCTAGACCAAATATCTTACACATCTACAAGTGCACAAATTTTATTCTTCCTAAGGAGCTGTTCCCTAACATCCTTTGGTCAATCTACCTTTTTTATTATATCCTTAGGAATCAGCTCAGATTTTTTTTTCTCTTCAATGTCCCCATGATACCCCACACTCAAGTAGGTACCCTGCCTTTGTGCTCACTTAGCACTATTTGCTTTCCTTTAACACATTTTTGTGTAACTATTTGTTGCCAAAAGATAGAGCTCCTTTTGGGATTTTCAACTATGTTTCACCAAATTCCATATTACTGGCACCTGGCATGTAGTGGGTCCTCCATGGATACAAACATAAGACTGTGATACTGTGTGTATAGGAGATAATTAGCATTCTTTCTAGCATGGAATATTCTAGTGCTTGCATTTCATTAATTTCCCATTGGAATAAATGCAATATATGATAAACCCTGTATAGAAACTAACATTTTTGTGCCCCGTTTTTCAAAATCATTCAAATTATACTAGAATGTGATAGCTGTATTCTTGAATGAGGCAGTTTTGGAATCACTGTAATATACTGCAAGTTGACATAAGAAAATAAATGTTGGATTCCAGACCAGCTATTTCCCCAGAAATAGCTGACAAATACCTGACAGGCCTGAAGATTAGCCTTGGTCACAGGACCAGAGTCTGAGTTCAGCATTTCAGTGTTGTTCAGAATTTTCAGAAAATCATGCTATTCTAGCCTGGTGAGTCCTGAATAGTTATGAAACTTAATCTTCTTATGGAAGGATCAGAGTTAATTGGCCATATTATCTGTTAAGCCTTGAGTTGTTAGAATACCCAAGGAAAAATTGGCTGGATGAGGACATTTATGGCTGATGTTATTGGTTCTCTTTTCTTTTGAAATACTGCTTTCAGCTCAGCATTTTTTTCTCAAGTCTGAAGTAAGAGATATATACCTCAAACATTCTTCTGGGAGGAGAGCAATAACTTGCTAGTGGAGGAGGATATGAAGGAGTCTGTCTTCCCAGTTGGGTGGGGAAGAATGGTCACTTAGTCCAGAAAGGGAAACCAGAGAGCAAAGTCCACCTTGTCCCAGTTCTCCCTGTGAATAGACCAGAACTTCATTCAATGTATGGGTGCAAAAGGAGCAGGCTTTTAAGCTTGATTCTGACCCTCCCTAGAGCTCAGTTGCATTTACCTGAAATATATAATGGATATATCCATTCTGGACCAAGCTGGAAAGCAGGTGAAATTTATCTTCAGTTTCACCAAATCTTTGGGTGACTAATTTTGTTAATGTTAGTTTTTTAACGTTTATTTTTGAGAGAGAAAGAGAAACAGAGTATGAGCAGGGGAGGAGAAGAAAGAGAGGGAGACACAGAATCCTAAGCAGGTTCCAGACTCTGAGCTATCAGCACAGAGCCCAACGCAGGGCTCGAACCCATGAGCCATGAGATCATGACCTTACCTGAAGTTGCCACTTAACTGACTAAGCTATCCAGGCACCCTTGGGTGCCTATTTTTGTAAAAGAAGGCTTCATGTCTTCAGTTAGTCTTCATAACAGTACTATGAAACAGGAGGCATTAGCTCCATTTCTTAAAAATAACTGTTTTATTGAGATATAATTTGCACACCATAAAAGCTACCACTTTAGGTGTTCAGTTCAGTGGGTTTTAGTATATTCAGAGTTGCACAAAATTCACTACAATTATAGCACAAAAAAAAAAAAAAAAAACCTTACCCAATAGCCATTAATCTCTACCACTCTACCCCAACCCTAGCCTCTGGTGACCACTAATCCACTTTCTTTTTCTACAGATTGTAGATGTTTATATAAGTTGAATCATGTAATATTTAGCTTTTTGTGAATGTCTTCAACTTTGCATAATGCTTCCAATGTTCATTTGTGTTGTTCATTCCTTTTTATTGCTGAGTAAAATTCCATTGTAAAATATACCACATTTTGTTTATCCATTTGTCATTTGTTAGGTATTTGAGTTGTTTCTACTTTGTGGCTATTATGAATAATGCTGCCATCTTGTTGCATTGAACACCAGGTGTTGTAAGTGTTGAATCACTAAATTCTACACCTGAAACTAATATTACACTGTATGTTAACTGGAATTTAAATAAAAACTTGGAATAAAAACAAAAAATGCTGTCATGAATGTTCAAATACAAATTTTTGTGTGGACCTATATTTTCAATCCTCTAGGTGTAGTAATGCTGAATCAATTGTAACTGTTTAACATTTTGAGCAACTGCTAAACTGTTTTCCAAATTGGCTGTACCATCTTAATATCCAGCAATGTATGAAGGTTTTAATTTCTCTCCATCTTCACCAATACTTCTTATTGTCTTTTCTTAATTTTAGCCATGCTAGTGGGGATGAGGTGGTACTGATTGTATTTCCCTAATGACTAATGATGTTGAGAACCTTTTCATGTGCTTACTTGCAACTCACATTTCTTCTTTAGATAAATCTCCAAGTCATTGGCCCAGTTTTTAATTGATTTTTCTCTTATTGTTGAGTTGTAAAAGTTTTTTTTAATATTCTGCATGTTAGTATGTTAGTCCCTTTATCAGATAAATGATTTGCAAATATTTTCTTAATTTTGTGGGTTTTCTTTTAACTTTCTGGATGGTGTCCTTTGAAACTCAGAAATTTTTAATTTGAAAAAGAATCAACTTAATCTATTTTCATCTTTTTTTGCTTGTGCTTTTGGTGTCATCTAAAGTTATTGAATAATCCAAGGTCATAAAGAGTAACACCTATGTCTTTCTAAGTGTGTGATAATTTTTGCTGTAACATTTAATCCATTTTAGTTAATTGTGCATATGGCATGAGGTAAAAATCTTTTATTCATTTGCATGTTGATGTCCAGTTGCTACAGCACCACTTGCTGAAAAGACTAATCTTTCCCCCGTTGAATTGTCATAGCACCCTTGTTGAAAATGGACCATAAATATAAAGGTCTCTCTCTCTCTCTCTTATTTTTAGGTTGCAGGATTATTTATTTATTTTTTAGTAGTTTATTGTCAAGTTGGTTTCCATATAACACCCAGCGCTCATCCCCACAAGTGTCCTCCTTCATGCCCATCACCCCCCTTTTCCTCCCCCCACCCCCATCAGCCCTCAGTTTGTTCTGAGCATTCAAGAGTCTCTCATGGTTTGCCTCCCTCCCTCTCCCTATTTTTCCCCTTCTTCTCACCCGTGGTCCTCCATTAAGTTCCTCCCATTCCTCCTGTACGTGCAAACATATGGTATTTGTCCTTCTCTGCCTGACTTATTTCACTCAGCATAACACCCTCAAGTTCCATCCATATTGCTACACATGGCCAGATTTCATTTTTTCTCATTGCCATGTAGTATTCCATTGTATAGATAAACCACATCTTCTTGATCCATTCGTCAGTTGATGGACACTTATTTCTAACCTCAATTTTGTTTCATCCAC